CTGACACATAGAGACAGACAACCATTCACACTCACATTCACACCTACGGACAATTTAGAGTCACCAATTAACCTGCATGTCTTTGGACTGTGGGAGGAAGCTAGAGTACCTGGAGAAAACTTAAGTTGACCTAAGGAGAACATACAAACTCCGTACAGAAGGGCTCCCTCACCCTCTTGCTGTGAGGCGACAATGCTAACCACTGAACCACCATGCCTCCCCGAGGAGTAGTTTAGTAAAAACTCAACAGTTCCTACATGAAACTGCTCACAATAAGGTCTGTGGATTATCCTGAGTAACTCGGTCATGATTTCTGCAAAGAGACATTGCTGCTGAGTTTTTCAAAAGTATTTTTTTGGCGTTTTGAGCACCACAAGCTGAGTGTCATCTAGTTCCATTATATTGGAGACCAGGCAGACATCTCTGCAGCCGATATCTCCAACACTCACGGCATGTGTACAGCCCCTTACCTTTTGTTGTTTGTTTTTTCAATAAGTATGTTCACTTGTAATTTTACATTTGGATGAGGTTGGTTCATCAAATCTAAATCTACACTCATATCTAGCAGTGTCCAGGATGTGGTTGCTACTGTAGGTTGTAAGCTAATTAGCCCTACATGCTAACATTTGCAGCTTACCCTAAAGCTGACATAATCAATTTAATCCACGTATTTCCATTCCTTACACTTGTGCTCTTGCATTTATGGTTTTGGAAAGGCTAAAAAAAGTATGCATGTCAGTTGCTTTATTCCTTTTAGTTTTTTGTCCTGTTTGGGAGGTTGCAACAGTGTAAGTCAGTGTTTTTTGGGACTGAATTCAAATTCAAATCACTGCAGCAATTATGACACCATATGCTCTGTGCATGTGAATGTGCATAATGTCGCTCTTTTGTGGATTTAATTGTATTTCAGTCTTGCCTTCTCTCACACACACAAGCACAAACAGATGGTAGATAAAGAGAAGGATGAAATGTGAGTAAATAGGAATGTGTGTATGTGGACTGGTTTGAGCCAGGATTGAAAAGAGATTAGAGGCGGGTAAAGATTTGCAGGATCAGATTGGAGTGTACCACACAGGCAGCCTCTGAAATAAAGACCATTTCATCTTTGTCACAAGTGGTATGAAACAGCAATATTAGCTAATAAAGCTCAGTCAGCCGTCATTCTGACAGCAGCGCTCAATACTGTCTGCTCACATTGGCAAAGCCTCGTATCACACAGCAGCATCCAAGTGGTCAAGCAAAGGTCAGCTCACACAATAATTGACCATGAAGAAGAAAGTATTTTCTGTCTACTTCATTACACTGACCTCCTTCACTTTGTTTGGTTGCCTTTGTACCAGAGATCTCTATTTACAGCGCTGATTTCACTGCTGGAGTGCTGCAGTCTTTTCGTAAATCTAGGCTGTGTGTTGGTGTTGTGTGCGATACATGAATGGCTGATGTGAAACACTGCCATGTGCAGTGTGTGCTTTTATGTTTTTACGGTGTATGCTTTTCATTTCTTCTGGACTATGATTGTAAGGCAGCAATACTTGTACACCTCCAGTCCAAGATGAATTTCGCCAAGGTATACCAACGGATTGGATCCTATCATATCGCATTGTATCATATCGCATCGTACCATATAGTATTGCATCATATCGTGTCATATCGTATCGTATCGTATTGTGTGGTATCGTTTTATGTCATATCGCGTCGTATCGTATTGTATCGTATCATATCGTATCGTATTGTATCGACACAAATTTGAAGGTCCAGTGTAAATCCAGTGTGGTAGGCAGCCTATGGTCTATTTTATCCACTTTATCATTGTGAAGGTTAAACAAATCAAGTACAAAATATAAATAAATCTATTAGTTTTAATACATTTTGTTCCTGAAATCCACCCTCACTTCAACCTTCTGCTGGGATTTTTTTGGCTCAAAGGTATCCCAGTCCAACTAAACAGTTTTAACCAGCACATACTGAAGGTTTGACCCAGATCCAAACCAAAACTGGATTAATGTGGCCTAATCCAATATTAGAATGTTCTTTTGCATTATTTTCAACAACCCATTTTCAAGATTTGACCCAATCTGTCAGATTATTTCAGAACCGAGCCTTGATTCAACACTGTAGCTGTACATCCAGTCCACGAAAGCTTCAACAACATACTGCTCTTAACATCTGCTGCTGGGTGAGGACACATTCACTGTTGTACGGGAAGAGAGGAACTACAAAGACACCCTGAGCACTAAAAGCCAGCATGGATGAGCAGATGGACAAAAGAGAAACTCAAACCATGTCAACAGAAAATCAAGAGAAAAGATCCCACACTGCCGCTCACACTGATTTGGCAGGTCGCTATCATCGCCCCAGGAGTCAAGGGAATGCAGCGGAGCAGCTGAATGACTTATTGTTGCTTCAGTAGGAAGGACCTCATCACACAGCAGGAGGGGAGCATGAACTGTCTAATCAGCCTCGCTCGCTGAGGAGGACATCAAAGTGACTGAAAAGAAGGCTGCTGCCTTCAAGGCTCAGGGTTGTGACTCGATCATCTGCGAGGTGTTAATAACATGAGCCCAGGAATTAGCCAGTCCCTTTCAAACATGTTTTTCCAATCATCCTTTTACTCCCACAGCTCTGTGTGCCTTTTCACTGGAGGAGGTCACCTATTGTTGGGCTCCCTAAGAGAGCCTGTGTAAAGATGATGAGTGACCTCTGACCTGCAGCACTAATGGAATGCCTTAAAAGCTTGTGCGTCAGAGGCGTTGTCACCCTTATAGGTGATAATGCAGTTTTAATTTTGTTACACCTCATTTACACTGACCTACCAACACTTTGCTCTAATTTCTTTGTAAAATGTAGAAGCTGTGTGACACCATTCAACACACCTGAGCTACGATACCTGGGTATTAGTCCAAACATTGTTGGACAACAGCTTTTTGACATCAGATTTGGCTGTTCAATACAAATATTCGACTATTACTTTTTTTCCACATACAGAGTTGGAGAGTTTAAAACAGGGTTTAAACTGTTCTGACTGAGCAAAGCCTCTTTTACTCACTCAGGGTGCTTTCAGACCTAGAGTTGTCTTGCTTTGGTCTGAATCAGGGACTAATTTTGTTACAAAGTTGCATAATTGCCTAGACTTGGTTCATGTTCTCACAGCAGCATTTACAAGCAGATCAGATCAAATGCCTTGTGTGAGAAAGCTGCTCTTGATTGGTCAGAATTTCCATGCGGGAAAAATCCAGGAAGTAAACAAAACGTTGAAGAAGAGTACACTTGCAAGATAAATGTGACACTTTCTAATGTCACAATGGAGGGACAACTACGCAGGTTGATTTTAGCGCTGCTCATTGTGGACTATATTGCTGTCATTGTTCATTTTAGTCAAACCATACAGTTTGAAAACGAGGCTTGGCTCCAACTAGAAAACAATGTTTTGATGCACTGGATGTGCTGAATGTGCATATTAAGGCAGTACAGGAGGAGGTGCACATTAATAATCCTCCAGGACTGTAACATGCTCATGTTTAACCCAAACAATGCGTAATGTGACTGCAGTTGGTTCGGATCGAGGTCGGAACACGTTCTCACCACAAACAAGTGTGACTGCTCTGTTCACACCTGCCCAAACGAACCGCACTTAGGGGGCAAACTAACTTGAGTTTGATTGAACCAAACCAAACAGGACAGGTGTGAGAGCACCCTTAAACTCACCCTGGGTCTGGGTCTGCAGCTGCCTGTACCAGCAGTGTGAAGGTAAGGGGGGGGCGGGTGTCACTCTGCAGCTAAATTGGGGGACTGAAACATCGTCAAAAGTGCACTGATTGGCAAAACATAAAACAAAAAAAGACTGCTGGAGTTGAAGAATCTCACTCGACTGAGGCGTCACCAACTAATGATTCAAAACTTCGACTTTCAAGGGACTGCCTTATCAAATTTTTTTTCTTTATTTCTCATGCAGATGAGGCAGAAAGCTTCGCTAATTACTGAACTGTACTGACTATTTCAAAATACAGCACAGCTGTTTAGTTACGTGGGCATTACATGACTGGGCATTATCAATCCACATGACGAGGTGGTTTCAACCACGTTACCTCTCTCAATGACAGCTTACCGGGTCCAAGCTGTCTTATTAACAAAAATTAAGCTTGGCTCCTTACTAGCTGGTAACTGGCTTCTAGCGGTCTGGACCACTCTGCAGAAGGAAGGATGGCGAGGCGTTCAGGCGCCGTTAACTAACAATGGCTTTATTGCACTCTTCACCACAAACAACAAACATGGCCTTCTCATGAGGTTGAACAGTAGCCGTGAACTTATCTAGACACTGAATTCTTCTGACCATCATAACTTTTTGCTGCCTGCCGTCTTCACCATGACACCCTGAAAGAGCTGCTTCCCTCCATATACAGTGAGGTACATGCCATACCCTCACAGGTTACCCACAAGGCTGCTGTTCTTGAAGGGGAAAAAGGGTGAGCCGGTCACACACAGGTGCTTTCCCTGTGTGCACTCATTTCCTGTCTCCATCACTAGCAGCTACAGTATAAGCTTTGAGGACACTACATTATTCATGGAAAGAAAATGACTCTATTCTCCCTTCATGATTTCAGTGTGCATGCAGCACCAGCTGGAAGCAGACCTGTTTCTGCAAGGCAAAGTACCATAACCAAAAAGTCTCCATATGTTGTCATGCATGAAAAGACCCAAAACAGACTATCGTATTACTAAAGGTGAATTATTTTCACAGCATTTGTATCGTACTGACTCTGTCCCAAGCTTTGTGATCCATGCAAGCGGTTGATCGTTAATTGTTTACTGTACCTTCACATCCACGCACAGGCAAGAGCAGCATTAATTAATGCAGTTTGCTATGCCAGTAAGATAAAAGGCCTTCCTCAAACATCTGTAAGTGACCTTCAATAAAGATAAGGATAAGCATAAAAATTGCTAAAACAAAATGCCTATGTTGCTCTCTTGCTCCAATCCTCCCTCCTCTCACCCCCCCTTACCTCCTCCGCTGTCCTCCTCCTCATCAATGCTGTTCTTGATGCTATCGTACTCTTCATCAATATTCTGGTTGCCTCGGATCTGACTGAGCACACGGCGGGCCTTCTGGGTCAGCCCACGCTGGATTAACCAGCGAGGGCTCTCGGGCAGGAACAGGAATCCCATGAACTGGAGCACGGCGGGGAGCACCGACAGACCCAACATGTACCTGGAGACGGAGGGAGGGAGGGGATACATGGAGTGAGGAATAAAATTATGATCACAGAAACTACATCACCACGTGTTTTGTTTTAGGTTTTTGGCTTAAATTCTTTTGGCATTTGTTACAGAGATAGGGTGCAATGAGGTTCCCCAAGCGTTTAGTTTATGTTGAGCTATTTGCCAGCAAGCATCAGGTGGTTTAGTTCATTAAAATTAAACACTGGGGAAAATGTCAAGGCTCTTTTTTCAGATTCTTCTGCTTAAAATAACCTAACATTTACATTTAGCATTTAACTCTCACCCTGAGTGTAACAGATAGTGCTGTAACAAGTAAAAAAAATCTAATATTTTGCCTCTGATCAGTTAAAAGAGCAGATATTCTGTCAAAAATCTCATCATTAGTTCACACATTAACATACACTTAGACCGCATGGCTAACTGCTGCATTTCTGACAGCAAACCAAAACTTTAAAGTGCTGTCTTCTAATACCAGAACCAGAATAACTTAGCCAAAGAAAACCACTGATATATTGGACTATTATGTCGAGAGGGAAATTGTCTCTCTGTATCCACTCATGCACACAATCAGGGTTCAGCACACTCTGTAAAAGGGTCGTTCCACAAATCCCAAATATTATGTGGTGAAGGCAAAGAATATGAGCGTGCAAGAGGGAGGAAAAGACTGTGATAATGATAAAATGTTGCAGGGATTTATCTCTAGAGAGGTAGATGAAGTGGAGAAGCGGCACGTCGGCGTTTCATACAACTTCAAAGAAAGGAAAAAAATCCATATATATTTTTACCAAGATAAACACACAGATATATAAGGCTTTTGTTCTGCTGCGAAGGCAAAGACGTCAATCAGACAACATTCATACTCTAAACTCAGTAAGTGTCTCTGAAAAGCCATTATCACGTATGAATCACAGCAATCTAGGAGCTTCTAAACGATCTTCGCCATCTCAATCAGAAATGTAGTTGAAGCAAATCCTTGCAAAAAGGACGATTCTTATCTAAAGTATCTCATAGCTCAACATTCAAACGCCCGGGAGGCTATAAAGCTGCATTCAGTGTGACAGCAGGAAAAGACGCCGAGAAGAGGGAAGAGGGGAACAGATAAAAGAGAGAAGAAGGACGGAGGAAGCGGCATAATGTACCTTTCAGATGTACAGCGCGGCTGCTCTCAGCAAATGTTAGGGGCTGACCCGTGCATGTGTTGACATTTGGAGTGAGGGTTTGAGCCGGCATGACTTCTTCTGGCATTTGATATGATAAGAGCCCAAAGAAAAGACGCTCATATATCTGACTATATGACCATCAATCATGAAAAGTTTAAGTACCTTAAAGTGTATTAAAGCAGCTGTATAAGATGCCATTTCATGTTATTTTACCCTTTAATACGTCATATATGTGTGTGTGAGGTGCACTTCTCTGTGTCTGACCTCCACCCATCGCGCTGCAGGTAACTGAAGGCGCCGTCAATCAGGCTGGCAGTGAACTGTCCAGCGGTGATGAAGAGGGTGTTAACCGTCACCAGCTGACCCCTCAGGTGGGGCGGAGAGGCCTCAGCGATATACACTGGCACTGTCATAGAGGCAACACCTGCACAGCAAGAAGAGAAAGAAAGAGGCGACAGTTAGCGGTAGGTGACTCAGAGATTGTGTCTTGTACAGCAGATGTTGCTTGTTCTTAAAGAAAGGACTTGCTTGCCAGACTTGCTTATGACAGAAGCAAAAAAATGACCACATATGGACCCAAAAGGGCAAGTTTATAAGCTTAGACATGACAAAAACCTTGTACTAACATTACCCAAGTGATTGACCTTAACCCCATATAACTTATAATGTAACATATGTAATGTAGGCAATGTAGGCAATGTGCACAGCACTTAAGTCAAAGACAAATTTCCCTACTACGGGGACAATAAAGTATATCGTACCATACCGTATCGAACCGTATCGTATTACACCGCACTGCATTGTACCGCATCGTATCACACTGTATCATATTGCATTGCATCGTATCGTATTGTATCGTATCATATATTAAATATAACTTAATTTAATCCTGAAAATCATCACAAATGTACTACTACAGCCACACTGTTGGCCCTGTGGGGTTACACTTAGCTAAATGCTAATATCAGCATGCTAACATGCCCTCAATGACACTGTTACAATAAAGTATATCGTACCATACCGTATCAAACCGTATCGTATTGTACCGTATCGTATCATATCGTATCGCATCGTATCGTATCATATATTAAATAACTAAATAACTTCATTTAATCCTGAAAATCATGACAAATGTATAAATACAGCGTCACTGTTGACTCTGTGGGGTTACACTTGAGCTAAATGCTAACATCAACATGCTAACATGCCCTCAATGACACTGTTAACATGCTCATCTTTATTAAGTACGTTTAACTTATTGTAGTGGTTTAGTGTGTTAACATGCTAACATTTACTAATTCACCCAAATGCAGGAAATTAAGCATTTGACACTAAAACTTTCCTGGGGAAGCACCCCAGCAACCTACTACTACTCCAACAACCTACCTTAAAGCCACCTTAACTAATTAACATTTTTATATTACAACTAGACAGTTTTAACATAACTCAGTTTTAAATTGAAACTCTGTGAATGTTGAAAAAAAAAGATGAGAAAAATTTGATTTTCTGTAACTTGCATCACCTCTTATTCTTCTCGCTCACATGTCATAAAACTTTTGACGTTTGAATTCAGACCACTGGTTCACGCTGATTTTGCACATCACAAGCCTACACAACATACACAACACAGACTTTTATGCCCCCAACCTGATAGTAACTAACTAACTAACCACTGTGGCAGCTGTGCACAGTGACACAACACTTTCAAAACAGTTTTTGCCATCCTCACACAATCAAAGTATTTCCCATCAAAAGTGTCCTATAATTGCTTTTGCCTCCACAGGCTGTGCACAGGCTACATTGTCCACTTGGCTTAGTGTATGTAGGCAAAACTACCAGAAAGCTGATGATGTATACATGTACATAAAAGCGCTACATGAAGGAACATAAAGGGTTTTCCTGTAGCTGTTAGTGTCAGTGATGCAGCATGAGCTAGCTTAATGTTTTTAAAAAAGTCAGCCCAACATGTAGAGAGGGCAATCATGGCTTGTTAAAAACATGAAGTTTTGTGGATATTACATTACAGACAATGTCACCCATGATTACTTCTTCTCGAGGTACTGTTTTCTGTGACATTTAAAGAGTTGCCTTCTGTTTTAGATTTATCTTGAAGGAACCATTTTGGTAAAAGCTTTATTTTTTCTGTATTTTTTCTTTATTTACTTCTTCTGTTATTATTTTTCCTGTCTGATGCTCTCTTTTTGTTTCTGGGCAGATTCTAGGGGACAGTTTTTTGAAGGTCTAACCAGATTTATTTTTTTATCAGATATTGTAAGAATATTTATCTGTGTCTGGTAGCTTTCTATTTATATTGCAGGCCTGTGGAACCATGATGTGATTATTACGTATGATTCTTAATTCAATGAGTGATGTTAGTCTGTAGTGTGAACTGATTGGTCCATGTGGGCCAATCAACCTACTACAGATGGTCTCTCCCTCTGTTTTGTAAAATAACCTGATGAAGGTCTCTGTATCAAAACCCATTAAATTTCTGATTATTGTAAGTGTAGACAGTGTACAGGAGTTCTTTGCTTTATTATAGCAATGTGTCCTCATAAAATGGTTTGAATGATATCTAACAAATTAGCTTCCCATGAATGGCATCAACATGTTACAAACTTAATGTAATGTTACTTGGCTTAGGTTAGGTTTAGGAAAAAAACAGGGTTGGGTGCTGTCATGTAAAGTTATGTACTGAACATAACGTACTTAATGTAAAATTACATAGTTTTAGGAAAAGAAACATTGTGATAACATACCCTAAAATGACTCAAAGTTCACTTGGTTTCACACAGGACACAAACATTGGTCTCCAGGGGGAAAGTCCTGTGTTTTGGGACACATCCACCACTCCAATCTGCCTCCATACATGGACTTTTGGTTTTAATATTACTTCCATCTTTCCTTTCCATCAGTGCATTGGTCGAATGATCGCAGCCTTCCTGATTATGTGGATTACAAATCAATTACTGGTTCATGATAACGTAGATTATACAGAAATTCTGGTTCATTATTCTTCGCAGGTATACCTACGTACAGTGCATGACAACAGCCTGATTATGTTTTTTATTTTTTAATTGCAAGTCTAAAGGCCAATTTCCACCAGATGCGTGTTGGTTACGTCTGCGCTCCTGCACGGCAGCGGAGCCGATAGGATTCCATTTTAGTCAATGTGTGTGTTTCCACCAGCTGCGGCTGTGCTGCGTTCCGGCTCTGTCTCAGCTCCGGCACTCCGGAGCCCTCCGCAACAAATACGCAGGACTTCTATTTTTGCCGGACGCCGGAGCACAACGCAGCAATTCAGCACAGAGCAGATCGTGCGGGGCAGGAAGCCGTGCACAGAAACACAATAAAACATCCAGTTAATTTTCAAAATAAAGTACATAGTGTTCACGGCGGATCATATTTCCCTGCACTACACCTTAAAAACTACATAATGGGCAGAGGCAGGCCTGAAGTCAACAGGTCAGAAGTTTTCAGACGTCATATCACCCCGTGAACACCATGGACGAGGAGATATTAATCATGGCAGTGCACCGAGATGTCTTCCGGCGGAGCTGCACCGCACCGCACAGCAAACGCAGCCGGTGGGTATTGACGGACGGCGGAGCACACAGCGGATAACCAGCGCTGCCGTTCTGCAACGGACACGCATCCAGTGGAAATCCGGCGTAAAATCACAAAACCAAAGTGTGTACAACATTATTTACATAATTATTACCAATTACATTTATTTCAGTAATCTCTAATGACTTTGACCTCTGACCCTGACATCAACAAACAACAGCAACAGAGGTGAATCCAGGGGACACAAACACATACCATGGTCCATCTCAGTAATGGGCTCTGCACAACTCTGATCTGGAAAACATCCATTTGCACACACACACACACACACACACACACACACACACACACACACACACACGCACGCACACACACACGCACATACATAGTCACATGCACGCTCCTGTACTCACGTACACACAGAACAAACAGTGTGTGTTTGCCTCAGATGTATCTGACAAGGTGCCATGAGACCGCGGCTTTCTGCAGCTGGCTCCTGATAAGCTCTATTAATAGTCTGCCACTGCTTTCTATACACCCCTCCCCTCCCCCCTGCCTCACCTCTCCCTCTCCCTCCCCGCTGCCACAACCCTGCCCTCATCGGCCACCATGACTACGTGGCTACCTGTTGCTATGGCAACCACTTGCTGGGAAACCAGTCTCCGAGCGGGCACCACGCTGTGGCAGCTCTGGGAAGGGAAATCGATAACCGAGAGAGAGGAGTCCTCACAAAACCTCCGCAGGAGAGAGCGATTTGGGAAAGAAAATCACCATTATCAACATTTCAAAGCTCAGTTACATTTCTTGCAGTCGTACACAACATCAGATCATTAACCAAAAAAACTTTTTTCCCCACACTGTACTGTGGGAAAAGTTAACAGTCATGATTCAAAGCCCGGTCTGCTGTTGAGTGTTGAATGCTCAGAGGAGAGAAACTCCTCGACTCTGCCAAGGGCTGTGACCCAGACTGCTGTTACACCCAGAGAAATCAGTCTGCTCTCTTACGTCTTCAAATTGATTTCTTGCCCGTGCAAACATACCCTAAGGAATTAGAGTCAAGTCTTTATCTTAGTTATGGCTTTAAAAAAAGGATTATCATCTGAGTGCGGAAATCCGAGATGCAGATCACCGTCGAAATCTAATCAGCTGCTCTTTGGCATGAAGCCTGTCTGCTCTGGCCAGTTTGATGGAAATCCATTCATAAGCTTTTGAGAGATGTTGCTGAAAGACAGACACAATAAAAACCTAACCTCTACGTTCTATGTTACAATAGAGGCAGGACTTTTAAAATAGCAAATTTCTGTAGTAAATGCACTGTGCTACTTTTGTCACATACACAGTAAAGTGGCCTTGTGACTAGGGGAAGGAATCAATAGGCACAAACGATTATCAGTGCATCTTGATGCATCAAAATTTTGAATTCTATACATGATTTAGTGTTTCTCACTTCCTACTTTTAAAACACAGCATATTTGTAATGATCCACAGTTAAAATAAACACATGAATTCACTTCAATTATCTTTGATTAACCCATTTGTTCCCATATTTAGTATACGAAGAGAATGCCACAACATGTGTTCTGATTCCTCTTAAGTCTCTTAAGTAAATTTAAGTCTCTTAAGTAAATTTGGTACGAACACTTTGGGCAAGTATCTAACGGTACAGCCAGCAATGTCCCTTGTGAAAAACAAAGTTATATCTCAATTTTTGTTATGCCTTATCTTGAAATTTGAGAGATGACATGAAAAGAGTAGCCTTTTATTAATGTTCAAAGTCTGGATTGTTTTAAAAAATGGGTGCAAAGATGCTTAAATTGTTAATAGTTTTCTGTTTGTGTTCCTTGTTTCATGTTATTC